AGTAACTTTTTGTATATGCTTTTCCAATTACTTTCTCAATAAAGTTGGTTTTCAATCAAACAAACCAAAAAAATTAAGTGGCTAAGCGGGGCGAAGGTTGAGGATTGGTGGCCAAGACGCGGATCCTGGTTTCTGGCTCAGAGGCAAGGCGTGGCAGAGACGCTGGGTTTTTGTGTGTGGTCTAGACGTCTTTGCCTTCTGGAAATTAGTATTGCTTTTGCATTTGCCTGTCTTCTGGCCCTTTTCTTTTTGCAAATTTGAATTGTATATCATAAATTATTAAATAAAATAAATCATTTGATATTAAGAATTGTTTTTTATTTAAATAAATTAAATTCTTTAAATTGTATCTTATTTAATAATTCATATTTTATAATTTAATATAATTAAATCATAAAACAGATAAAAAAGTTCCCGTGATCTAATAGTCAACTCTCCCTTATAAAAGACTCCTTATATGTTAACCCATCGTTAAAAAAAATTCATAAACAGACAATCTACTCTCCAATTCAAATCCTAGACAAGGGAATAGGAGTTTTGAAAAGAAGAGAATTACCCTATAACATAGCCTACGTAGCCTATCATCAGATCTCAAATGAAAAGGGAGAAAAAAAAAAAAAGGAATGAAAATTGACAGATTCGTTTGGCCAAACATGTTTATAATGCGGGTGACACGAAAGGGATGAAGGTAAAAACCTCTTAAAATGGTGGTGGAATAAAATAATATTTTTACCCTTACAAATAAGAGTTTGATTGTGCAAGACATGGAGAAAGTTCACAATCTAGAATATCAGAGACATGCTACCACAACAGATTTTACATAGTGACATTTAATACCTCCATTCCACATATATTCCAAAACAAAATACATTCAATTTAAAACCAACCAAGGAGCCGGTTCAAAACAGTCCCATGGATACAATTTCTTGGGGAGGAAGTGTGTTGTGACATGGGATTCATCTGTGTAGCACATCTTCCTGTTTGTTACCCTACTTGATGTATTGAGACAACCACTTGAAGCCATCACCATATCCCATTTTTCGAACAATGCTGCACATGAATACTTCTAGCGGACGGACATTTGAGTCTGTGAGATTTACCTTCCCCTTACCAGTGGTGAAGTTGGTCAGGCCAAGGTGGTAACGCAACTCATCTTCTGAGGCAGCATAAGGTATATCAATCTTGTTTCCTAGTATAAGGAAGGGTACGTTGGCAAGAGCCTCATCGGAAAGGAGTGCATCTAGTTCCTTCTTTGACTCAGCAAACCTCTCCTTGTCATAGGCATCCACCAGGTACACGACAGCATCCACCTACGAACAGAAAATTACATATTGGAAGTATTTACGCCACTCCTCTCAGCAAAAAAATAACTATGGAGAACCACTGAAGAATTTAATAAGCAGAAAATCCAAATCCATCACTCCTTCCCTTCCCCCATCTTAAATCGACAAGAAACAAGCCTCTATCAGAAGAAAAAAAGAGAGAAAAAAAAAAGGGTTTTTTCCAAGTGAAACTAATACAAAGATTCTTTGTAACCAAAAATTAACATGAGTGATAGATTTTTTTTTTTTTTTTGGTAAATACATGAGTGATAGATTTAATTATATGTAAAACTTGTAAAATTTAACATTAAAAAAGTATAAATTTTCAGAAGCATGCAGGGGGATAAATGTTCCCTCCATTCCTTACAAAGGTCAATTCTTATTTTGCACCAAAAATTAACCGTGACTGGGGCAACATCCAAGGGGCATGGACACAACAAGATGGTAAATTATCATCTATCCTGTCTATGATTTTATGCAAGATTTCTCATGTCTATTAAAGAATGCAATGCCAAATACTGCACAAAAAAGTGTAAAATACAGTCATCTTTGTGCAATGAAAGTGATACAATTATAAGCCTAACAAACAAACCATATAATCCTTTTACAGCCTCCTTGGAAAAGACTTAAAATGAATATGTATTTGAACCACAAGGGCCAACTCCAAACTAAGAAAGCAAGAAATCCAGTACCTCCAAAAGTAAACACAGCTTTATGAGGACTTGGAACAGCAAAAACAAGTAAACATACATTGAAAGAATGGAATTCTTATCAAACTATGCTTGAGTATGACTAACTCTAAACAAAAAGGGTTAAACTGAAGCAATGAAAGTGAAACTGAAGCAAGAGAATGGAAATCATTACTTACCTTGGCATAGTAATCCTTCCAGACTCTTCTTGCAATCTGATGACCTCCCAAGTCAAATGCCTTAAACTTAATTTTCCCAATACTAAGCTCCTCTGATGTCGGATACTGGGTCGGCTGATGTTGTACCAATCTCTGCAAACAGTTCGCTAATAATCAATATCCCAACCCAACAAGTCATTACCTTAAGTACCTAAATAACTGTATTATTATACTGATGCAACCTTTTATCTGAATAACTTCATTTCAATGAGGCAAAATGTAACATGACAAAATTTTTGCTGATCAAAAGAACAAAAAATGTAGCATGAAAAAGGCCTTAATCAGTTAGCCCACTCTAGACATGAAAAATCAGCTGAAAAATAAACTAAGCCAATCAACCATATTAATGTAAGCTGTAGGGAACTAGAAGAAAAGACGACCAACGTTTCTGGGTTTTTCGAATCATAAACTACGAAAAGAGATTCAGAGATCTAAAATTTCATACCAATTAAATGAAAACCCAACAAATCGAATTCAATAATTAAAACCCAGCTGCAAAAGATTAAGAAATAAATACCCAGAAAAACGAAATTAAAAAACGAACCTCATCCTTCAACATATGAAGCAAGGTTGTCTTTCCCGCATTATCGAGGCCAAGAAACAAGATCTTGGCCTCCTTATGCAACAGACCGAGGGAAGCAAGAATCCCATAAAACCAATCGAAAAGGAACATGGTTTGGATCGAGCTCGATTTGGGAACGATCGAAGTCTAGAGGAGAGCCAGATCGTCAAATTCAAGGCCGCCGATGCATTCCAGGAAAGAATCAATTTGGGGAATTTTCACCCTAGAAGAAAGAAATCGCTGGGGTTGGGGTTGGTTGCTTGATATGGGAAAAAGGGAGGCTAAAACCAACTTTGAGCCCTTCATCTTACAAAATTAGTAGGTTTTAACCTTAACTTTATAATATGACATTTTTAACATTTTACCTTACAAAATTGATAAATTTTAACCTTTCACCTTACAAAATTAGTAGATTTTACCCAATCACCTTATATTATAACACTTTTAGCCCCTTATTTATATGAATTGAAGAAAATAGCTCTCACTTCACATCAATTTATAATATTCTGTTAGTTTTATTAGTTGACTGTCAATTTTGTTAACTGACTGTTAGTTCTGTTAGTTAACTGTTAGCATCCGTTAACATTTCGTTAATGAAACTAATAAATAAAATTAAATTTAAATTTCATGTTTTCTGTAACAAAATGCTAACAGATGTTAACAATCAGTTAATAGAACTAACAAAATATTATAACCTAATATTAGGTGGGAGTTATTTTCTTCAATTCGTATAAGTGAGGGGTTAAAAATGTCATAATATAAGGTGAAGGATTAAAACCTATCAATTTTGTAAGGTGATAGGTTAAAACCTACCAA